GTGCGTACAAATATTTATTTTCCCACCGTGTAACATTACACTTGTGCATAGCTCAGAGCCGCAGCTAATATGTATTATAATAATATCATCGTAATACGCGTTCACCCATAATACACGTAGAATATATAGACGCGTAATATACAGTGTACAATATAAGGTAAATCCTATTATAATATAAAATATATTTTATATTATGTTAATAATAAAATATGAACAATAGTATAATATTACGTTTTGCGCCTACATAATCGCGGTGTTTTCTACAATCGATATCTATATTATAAATAAAAATATTGTATATCATTATGTTCTGTTTTTCAATTTCCCTTTTGCGTATACATAATATAATATAAAATATAACGATATCATTATAATAATGTTATTATATCAGTGGCTTGTACAGATAACATGGTATTATTTTTCGTTTTTTTATTCGGTCGAATTACAGCCGCTGTGCGTAAAGCTCTGTTGAACGAGATACGTTTTAAAGTTAATTTATAAATTTTATGCTCGTCTACTTAAAAAAAAAAAAATGTACACTGAGAGTATTGGTTTGCTTTTTAAAAAAGTCTATGATAATTATAGGTATTATGTACATTATATCTGTGCGGCTACGCCGCGGTTTTTTCTGCGCCCCTTCCCGCGCCATTGTTTGGAACGACGTCATCGGAAAGCAGAAATGACGAGGTGTCATTCATTAATTAATTGATTAATTAATCATTTGAACGTGACATAGCTCCACAGGTAAATCGAACGTATTCCATTCCTATACTTTTCGTTTATTATATATACATTATTCCATTTACCCTTATAGGATACTGTTATTCTTTCCGTCATATTGAAAATTCTATGATTCCTAATACAGCTACAGGTGGCCTAGAAAAATTTTCGCTAAAATGTACAATTTTGCAATCATAAATGTTGATGCAGTATTGCTATGTGATTCCTAAACAAATCAATAATCGTCAAATTAATGTACCTACTGGTATATACTCAGATGCGTATATAAATACGTTTTTATACGATAGGTATCATTACTGTGTTTAGGTTTACGATTTAAACATCTAAACAACATAATATTATTATACAATCGACGTGAACAGAGTTTCAATATTATTATGTATATATATATATAATTTTATATAATAATATAACTTAAAAACTTGCGGTAAAGCCGTTATTTTTTTCTTTACTTGTTTTAATGAAATTGTATTACTAAAGCCGAAGAAAAAAATGGATGTCACGTATAATCCTAATTGTTTTAACGAGCTGTTTTAATGATATTTTTTTCTCGATTAACCTAGGCCCTGATCACAGTTCGATTACGTTGAACGGTAAATCGATAATTGTGTAAACACTTTAACCGCGATATAGCTGCAGAGTCCAATACTTGCAGTATATTATATACATATTGTTATGACAATATGCCTATAATACTGATTATAAATAATCACCAATATGATATTAAATGCCATTAAAGATTTAAGCCTATATTGCGAAAAATGTTATAATTTCTATGTTATTGTTATTATTATTTACCTTATATATATGATATTGCCACGATTGTGCTCTCTGTCACATGAGGTACGATGATTGCATATCAATTAAAAATCAATAACTCGTTTGTGATTTGCAGTGTGAGTATAAACCATCATACATATTATGGGCTTACATATAAAAGTCATAATATCGCGATAATGTTTATATTAATTTTTTTAATAGTAAACGTCTTCTCCGTTTACATTTTATAGTGTATGTGTAAAAAAAAAAGTTGGCACGAGAAAAAAATGCTGTTATTGTGTGTTGAATAAAGAAAATTATGTTATAATTTCGTTTAAAAAATGAAATCTGATCAAATGCAAACGGAGACCAGCTCTTTCAAATTTTAATCCGCATTCAAATAAATAAATATAATAGTCAATTTAAGCAAAAAGTCCCAGTAAAAAAAGTCTCAGGAAATGGTTAAATAATCATTAATTAATAAATATTAAATACAAAATAGTGTTATAGTAGTTAATACGTAAATCGCTTTAAAATTATATATAAAATAATAGAATGCAGTTAATACTTTATACATTTAAAAACATTCATACTAATTTACGTTGTAAAATAAAATAGTTTATAAAATTAAAACTAATACACAAATTTTGTCACTTTGTATACATTCATTTTGTAAATGTTTTTCCATGAAACAATTTTGTCCTAGCTTTTTTTTTTTTTTTGCTATTCAATTCTTTTACACCTTCTATAAAGCTAATTTTATTTTATCCATAGAAATTTTCATTTTTCTAATCAATTTTCAAATATTTTTATGCTTATAGCGCAAGTTCTGATTAATTATGTTAGATAAGTATGGCAGATTTACTTCATGTAGGTATACAAACTACAGTCATTCTACATTATACACACCACGTCAGTTTTATAGAATTACAACAATAATAAAAAACAAAGTACCTACAACTTAACCCAAATAAATATTTTGTTCCTTTTTTTATGAGGCTTTTGTTTATAAACTAGACCTTTTTTTCCGCAAATCTATTTGGTATATGACGTATAAAAAATATAATATTTATGAAAACATTTATTTTTTAATTTCAAATCATGATTAGAATTCAACAAAATCCTGCAACAGTTAAAAATATATTTAAATAATTATAGTCTCTTGCTTTCGCTTTTTCACCTAACCACGCGTGGTTATTGATTATATATTTTTTTATTTCGGTAAGTTTTTTATTTTATTTAATAAAGTCATCTTTTTTTCAATGCTACAGCAATAAAGATGAAATTTATCTTTTCTAACTAAAATTTATAACGTTTTCACGGGTGTATTATAAATTATAATATTGAGGATAAGCGATAATTAAGGGTTAAACGGCATGGGTATATTCTAAATGAGATGACCGACAGTTAAAGCTTTTGTACCTCCAAATACGTCAAGTTATAGTGTCCCTCTCTGCACTATTACAAAAAATGAAGTATATATATTTTAATTTTAGGGGACAAGCAATGAATTTATCTATACATTTTTCGATTTTACTTTCACGAAAAGTAGAGAATTATCGCTTGGCAGTTATAGCACATTTTGCCTTTTATCAGTCGACATGTTATATGGTGACAATAGCGTGGTACAAATTTGTAATCGATTTAGTAAGACTGATAATATATATTATGTATATATTATAATTTATACTGAATTAACGACTATAAATTTATAATAATTTAATAAAATGTGAAACCGGTTTTATACGGATAATGCAGTAAATACTTTCAGTGTAGAATATATAGTATACCCCTCTGAAAGTATTCGTAGTATTTTTGCCGTCGCCTCAATGATGATCGGCAGAATGCAGTTTTTGTTTCATCCGATGACAATAATCCTGTTGTCGTTCCAGGGGAAAAGAGACAGAATGGAAGTTTTTTCGTTTCATTATTATTATTTTTTTCTTTCATTCGAGTAGGTCGAGAAATGAAAATTATTGCGTCCTTATTATTTAACACACATCTAAGAATAGTTTTGCGTTTGAGCAATAGCAGCCGCAGAGTATAAAAAATTTAAAAAAAAAAAATGCCGTCTCGTCTGGAAGTTAATCGCTTGCTCGTTTTTATTCGAGAACCGTGTGAACCCATAAATTTCATGTTGGTCGACAAATGTAACCCCATTGTTGTTTTGACCAGTTGAATATGTGAATTTGTTTTAAAAAAAATTTAGTGCCATATTATCAATACCGACGATATCGTTTATAAGCCGCCGACAGTGTTTGTTTTATGTGAATCGTACAGTTGTTCAATAATTGTACCTATCACTTGTGAATTTGTAATAATCTGTGATGGTAGTGATAATAAATAAAACTAATAAAATGAGATTTTACCAAACAAAAATGTTGAATAATCGTAATCGTGAATTTTCTACGTTGAGTAGGTAGTTGCTTTTTTAGAAAACCAGAGAAAACATTATTATTATTATTATTAAGCATTAATTGTTAAGTAAATCATTTTTGAAGAAGAAAAAATTACGGTTTAATAAATACAAAATAAATCCTTTATGTTCAAAGACACAAGAATAATGCTCAACAAAAAAAAAAAACGTTATAGAATAATATTCTTTGTACAATTATTTTAATTTCTTTATAATTTTCGTGTCACTCAAATCTTTTCTTTTTTTTTTCATTCTACTACTTATTATATAATAAAGTAGTTTTCATCTAAAAGCCGATTACTTTTTTAGTATACTATTATATTTTTAAGGTATTAGGTTTTCTTAAAGAGTATCGCGGTACACTTATTTTACGCAACATAAATACAGCATAGCAATAATTTTAATACGATTTTCATTTTTCTATACTTAAATTTTGATATTTTGAGAATAACATTTTGTTATTAAATTTTTTGTTACAACATTTATTAATTTGTTACACAGTACCACAGCAAAAACATTTTCATGATTAAACTATGGCTGTATACATGAAACCTATTTTTTTATAATCAATTTATCGTGTTACCTACACATTTTTTAGTAAATCTATTTCATAAATTATTCATTAAACACCTTTAATTTTGTACTACGTTTAATATTCGCTATAACACACATAATTAATTAATTTTGTATTACACAACTATTTAGATGCACGTAAAATGTGAATTATAATATTGCCTTCATATAATCGAACATAATATTCTGTACTTAATACATTATTTTATTTATACTTAATATAATTTACAATACTAAAAAATTTAATTACGAAATGTGGAACTCACAAATATCAATATAACAAACAGATATTTTTATGAAGTACTCGTTCGACTTCACGATGTATATATACACCTATTATAGTTTTTTTTTAGATAAAACTCGTGCATTTTAGTTTTTTTGATTATTTTTCTCTTCTCTTTGTTTTTACTTGTCATAAAACTTTCCTGTCTACTTTTACTCTCATTTTTGTTTTTGTTTTATTTTTCATTTTTATTTATTTTTTTTATGTTTTCGTTTGGCCTCATCTCAGCCCGTTCGTAGCATCCAGCTAAATCGTCACGCGTTTGCCAACGGCGTAATACAAGTACAAAAAGGGTTATATGTACATGAGCCAGCTTCTCAGATGTACCCGTTGTCGGAGGAAGATAGCATGACGTCCCCAGGTATGTTTTGTAACAAAAAAAAAAAAGAATATTGTCTTAGGATATATAATATTTAGGAAATTGGTTTATATACGCTCTCTCATAACATGTATAATAATAATACATATTTATGTATAATATTTTGTGCAGACAGCACATGATTGGACACGATGTAAGGTCAACACATTCGACTTCTTACGTCCAATGACCTTATCCGCATCATCACTATCATCATCGACATCATTGTTACGAATATGACACAGGCTCGTTTCTCCGTAAATATCGTATACGCGTATTTTACGTTAAGTAGTTTAATATTATGTCATGCGTGTGACAATTCTCGTTATTTTCGGTTCGACGACGCAACAATATAAATTTAATCCAAAATATTTTCTCGAAGGTGTACATTTTGTGATTAGTTATTAGTTATTACGTACGTATCTGCGCGGTGTCTTATTGCAATTTTTGCACGTTACATAATAATATATTAAGAGGGACCGACCGTTGTTTAAAGATACATTTATTGTACGCACACCAATTAATTTAGTTTATGTAAAATCACAAAATGGTCCAATTTACAATACATAATGATGTACATACTTTTGTTCCGAACATAAAAACAGTATATACACGTAGGTATGATATTGTAATATTATGAATTTTAATGTTAACGCGAAACCCCGAATGAAAAAGATTAAACACGGTTTAAGATTTATTGAATCCCGCTATGATTCATTGCCCAACCTCCGTGTGTACTATTACACGTAAATAATCGTATACTATGAAATATAATATATTATATTTTATATAGCTATATAATACGAACGTTATGTGTGTAGGTACACATCATGCCGGCACGGTGTTTGAATTTTTATTTGCTCTTCGAGTTAAAAGTTTATTATTTTTTAAATTTCAAACAATTTCGGATACATACGCTTATATACTAACACAAATTTGTTTTTACTTTTTTTTTTTTTTGAAAATAACGTTTGACAAAAATAAAAAACGACCGTTATGTTATAAATATTATCGTGATATAATATTATATTTGTCGTAGGTAGGTAGGTACAACAAACGAATTCAACTTTTGAATATTTGCTTTTTTTTTTTAGATTCTAAGCGGAGCGGTGAATGTATTTTATTTTGAAGTATGTGTGTACATACACATACCTTTCTGTAATAAACTTTTTCGTACAGTACGAGTACCTATATAATAATAATAATATAAATAAAAAATTATCATTATATCCATCATACGTGGTTCTTTCCATTTTTTGCCGAAAATTCGATGTTTTTATCGAAAAATAATTACTTAATAACGTTTACTGCAGTGCACATTGATGTCGTTACCATGTTATGATGTGTATTAAAATATTAATATACATTATGTCTATACTGAATATTTTTTTCCTTTGGAATGCGGTCGAAAATAATTTTTTAAAGACATCGCATTTAATAAAATATTATACACCGATGGGGTGCATGGTTACATGCGTGTCCGTGCTGTGCGGGGACGAAAACGTGTTATTAATTTAAAATCAGGAAAAAAACGATTATTGCATCACCGGCGGGATACATTTTTGTGACCACAAATAATATTCTTTTTAAACCCTCCCCCGCACACAAATCGAACGTTCGTTGCCATAGTTGATCTGCTGCGCCTTTTGGATTGTAACTGTGATATTAGTATTATATCGTAACATTGTACGTCTGTCATCAATGATCGCCCATGTATTTCTAAAATACACGTACTTCCTATGTATAATATAACATTATATTAATATATTATTTTCGCTCTTTTAACAAACGGCGGTCTTCTATAATAATACGTACGTGTCTCGGTTCGGAGGAACCCCGTCGAACCCGTCGTCGTAAGGTTATGAGTTTATAATATATTACACGTATATAATAATATGATGACGGTGGGGCCGTGGCACGGTCGGTATAGGCGCAGGTGCGCACGATGAATCACAACGTAGTATAGAGTCGCCCTGCACTGTATACTTACTATATACAATTGTGCCTGCACGCACACTCATTTATACACAGAGAAACGTATTTCTCGGAATGGCCCGGGCGTGTTCAATGGGGGATCTTGTATATACTATAACGATACGATAAATGTATAGTGTATATATACACAGTGCACACACACATCACGGTGCGCTGTTGTCCATTGATATCGGCTTAGCGCCGTCCCTATTTTTATATTAAAAAGGTCTTTGGCGCACGGGGAAACGATTTTCGTTTCGAAATTCGCATTCACGCTTTATATAATAAAATAATACCTTCAGGCTACAGTAACGTCCACCACTTGTATTCTACCGATAACCGTTTTCCATTCCGGCGTGTTCGACAATGCACCGCCACCGGCTACGCTGCTGCAGGTCACTATATTATTATCGATGGTAGATTATTATTATTCTATTCGCGAGAAGCAGACCCATAAATACTATTTAAGAAACACCTATAGGTACAGATGAGTGTGGGTAGAGGTGAGGTGCGTCTGGTACATATATATTAGGTTAGGAACTTATAACAAAAAATGAGTTCAACGTGATCAATCGTTGTCGTCGAAAGTACTTCAAATGTGGTGAAACGACGACTCGTTTTGATCACGACATAATAGGTATTCTTGGTCGGACAAATAGAAACAATATTATGTATACAAGTACATATACGTTTGTATGTCCTCGATGATAAAATATAATGTACAGCGATTCAAAATATTACTGGCGGTTGTGCAGTTCGAAATCCGTACAAATAATGGTAGCCACTCTAAACTATATTGTTCGGGCAATCATCGTGTTATCTGACCACGCATAATCGTTGCGAGTTTGTTTTTTGTTGGAAATTTATAGTAATACTACCGAATTATTGTGTAAACATAGTCACCTAGAGAGAAACACATGATATCTTCGTACAATACACGAACTGCAGCGTTGCAATTATTGTGCATACTGTCGAAGCGTTTCGTATTTTGTGATAAATAAATATAGTATTTTACATGAATAAATATATTATTCAAATCGTTCCGGATTAAATAATACAGTCACTGCAGTAGAAGTCTGATTATTGTTTCGTGGAACGCGTCCTTCCTCCATGTCATGGGATTTGAAAGGTATCGTAATATAATACAACGTGAAACGCGATCGAAACTGATTAATATATGATGAGAGGTGCGCTCCACACGCTTCATTATCCGCATTTGTCATTTCCTGGAAAACAGTAACACATAACTACCACCCCCGCGCCAACGAGACGATTTCGGTCCAATTTCAGGCATTTTGATATACGCATTATTATTGGGACCTAACCTGTACTACACTGCGTATCGCGGTTATAGCGGAGTGTAGTGATGTACAAAATAGTATATTACATGTTATTGGCCGTGTATATATAGCGTGGTTAACATTTTCGATGATATGACGTCGCCGCCACGCCTCGGCGTCCGTCCGAATGAATGGAGACGATTTTACGACCGTGTAAACAAGAGACCGTTTTTCATCCCGTCCATTTGTCGCGCGGCTATCCGGGCCAGGTAGTTACATTAAAAAAAAAAAAATGTGTCGAAACGTATCTCGTATGAAGTGTTCGACGTGCACTACAATGACGACGACGATAATAACAATAATAATAATTACAATATTATTACAATAAAAATAATAATAATTATTATGATTATTATTATCTTTTCAATATAATGATTCATCTGACCAAGGGACGCGACGTGGCGGTGGTGGCAGCGACTGCGACCGGTACATGTGGCAACGTCGCGAGTTACAAGTTACCTGAAAAAAAAAAAAAAAAAATAAAAAAAAAACACCGCCGATCCATTGTGGACGTCAAACCGGTTTTCGTTCCGGACGACACCTGTACACCGCCTACATTTCGTATTTTACACACACACACACGCGCTCAAATCCTCGTACACACACTCGCGTCGGTCGTATAGTATACACGCGCGACAACAAAACGTAAATTAAAATATATACGTATAGTATCCTTTTGCTTTCTCACGATCCCGGACAACACGCGTATACACACACGGCGGTGAAGAGTTGACGACAGTCCTTACGAACACAGTCTCGATGAGTTCGGAACCCGGGGTTGTTAACATGCAGCTATAGTGTCGAGCGTGCCATCGTCGTGTGAATTTTTTTTTACTCGGTGTTTCCGATCGACCGAAAATTCACGTCGAGCAAAATAAATCGCAACCAATGTGATCGGATTGACGGACGGTTATTTCATAGAGATATAGCGAGTTCGGCTGCGCCGATGTTGTCGTCGAAAGCTCACGGATTCCTTTTAATAATTTCCCGGTAACGTCCTGCCTATTCCGGTTTGTGAACGTTTTTCCGCGCCCACCTCACACGACGAGACGTAGACGGTTAGGTTACAGACACGTCATACACTTCGTACATCGTTCGTCGGTTGTACGACCATAAAGAAGGAGCTATATCGTTGAAATTAATGTTGTTTTATGACTGTTGTTGTTATTATTATTATTAATATTATCATCGCTGCAGTCGGTCGTGTGCAAGTCTCATCGTTGGCGGTTGTCTCTAGCTTGGGCACTACGGGGAAAGAATAATAAGTATACAATATTATTATTATTATTATCATCCCGAGAGAATAGTGGATAAACTGGTTTTACGAACACCATCGTCAGCGGGACTGCTGCAGCTTGTTTATCATTGTTGTCCGACGCATATATCGCTCGCGCGCGCGCGCTAGTGTGTGTGTGCATAGGTACTGAGGGACGTTATCGAGAGGAAACAGTATTATTATTATTATTATTGTTATCATTTTGTTTTTTTATCATTTCTAGGATTGGAAATCTTGTTTAAACGTCGTTGCAGCCGGTCGGCAAAGTTCTGCTGGTTTCGCCGCAGTTCTGCATACGGCCGTATTTAAATCTATTACTTCGTCTCTCCATCACTCCACGCTCACTATGTATAATATATTATATATACAATAATAATAGTATGAATGAAAGAATAGACATTAGACGTACCGCA